AGAGAGAAAAAGAACGAGAGAGAGAGAGAGAGAGAGAGAGAGAGAGAGAGAGAGAGAGAGAGAGAGAGAGAGAGAGCAATGTAAACGATGTCGTTTGTAGGATGGAAGTGGCGTAAGTACCAGACCGTAAAAACGGATCAGTTTGGTGTTGCTCCGAATGTGTTCGCATTTGTGTAATTTATGAAATAAAATAATACAGAAGAGACGTGCAGATTAAATATGATGACAACTTGCACAGGGATTACAGACCGGGAGTGCTGGTTATTTTGACAGTGAAGGACATTATATCTTATATCTAGATACAGTGTGCACTATGCAATATAGGGTACCGTCGTACCGGTGGTGTAAATAGTGCAATGTGTTACTTTCGCTTAAACTTTCTATCACATCTAGTATTTTGTGCAATGTGTAAGTCAATCAAAGGCGATAGGTGAACAAACGACACAAGATTTGACGTGTGCTCTACTTATTAATGTGTGCGTCTTATCTGGGGTGCATCTTACAGTCGATGGACGTCTCACATATGACGAACTGTATGATTTCACATGAGCATCGAGCACACACGTTTGCTCCATATGCACGGTCGCTGCAGGGTTGTGACGAGCACATGAAAATCCTCAGTGCAACCAGGGAGTACTTCGATTCAGATCCATAGATGAATGTTATGTCATTCACTAATAAGCATAAAGACACCTGGAATGACGGAAATTGGAGAGATATGAAGTGTGACTGCCTGCGAGCATGTTGGAGACTGGAAACCTGATTCATGTGCCCAACGAGATCCTCAAATCGACATTCCTGACGCGTTTAAGTGCAACGTTACGACTTTATAACTTTATTGAGTACATCCATTCCGCAGGGGGACCCTCCGGGCTGCGTCATTCAAGATTTTGTAGGACGTTTTTGCAAGAGCGTTCACCGATCCGGCCGAGTGCGCCAGCCGTACCTCTCGCTAACCCTACGACAAGATAGAGGTCAGTCGAGGCACAACTTACCTCTACCCAAGGGGTTGTCACCACCCTCAGGTGAGAGATGGTTAACGGGGGGCCAAATATTCACCATTTTCGTGCAATTTCGGTGTGAAATTCATTGAAATTTTCAAAAACAAACGATATGAGCGCGTAGTGCAAACATGAAAAAACGAAACAGAACGACCATTTCGTCAAAATAGACATCTTTTATTTTTTGAATGAAATTGAAACCGAGTTTTTTGGCCGAAAACTCGTCAAACTTCACTGTTCTTGAGGGTCCAACGTTTTTAAATTGCATGACCCCCTGGCTGTACATGGACCTAGCTTGAGACCAGGTACATCCAGGCAGCTTAGGAACAACAAATTTTGACGAGTTTTCGGCTAAAAAGCTCGGTTTCAATTAAGGATATACGAAAACCAGACAACTCTGGTTGGCTTACCGAAAAGGAGCTCAGGGACCATCGTCCCTATCTGAGGGAACTTGAAGCCGGGGCTAGATTGCAAAGTCTTCAAGACGCTATTCCACCTCACTGGGTGGAAATGCTAGACTCTGCTCAACCTTTGGAGGTGAGCAACTGGTATCGCATTCGGAACACACAAGCAAACCCGGCCTTCTGCAGGCTGATTGATGACGGGAAGCCAGGATCCACAATACTCCAATTTCGGAGTGCAGACCCAGTTTGGACCGAGGAACTACCTCTGAGATTCGAGTCAGAAGGTTCGCCGATTGTCATCCCACAATTGGACAAATGCAGAGTGGAGTTAAATGAAGCTCGCTATGAAGTTGCGCGCCCGGTGGCACGGTTCAAGGGAACTCCCTTGTCGAGATCAAAGTTGGACTCCTCAAGATGGTCATGGACCACCTCAGCCCAGCCAAGGAAGTCAGCCCTCCATTAGGCTCCATATGCACAACTATACTCCCAAACTCGGCACTAGTATGCTCAGGGAGCACTCAGAATGTAGCCCTTACGAGTTAGTGATGAAGTACAGATGGAAGCTGGCACAGGTGGAATATGATCAAGAGACCATGGTTAAGCACTGACAACTATTGAAGAAACTACCGTCTGAGAAGTTAGCCAGGCTGCTCTGGCAACAGTCAATGTTAGTAATCCCCACGGCGGTGTTTCTCGCTGGAGGAGGTCTCAACGGTTTGTGCCAGATGCCAATGGGCCTGGGAGACTAATCTGCATCTCTGGGTGCAAAGTCCTTTCTCGAAACGCATATGATCCTGGTGGCGCAGACATTGGCTGAAGCTACCATGGTCCCAGTTGGAGTGGACGGAGGAGTTTATCTTGTCTGGTATTCCTGCGACAGCTGTTAGAGGAGATACCGCAACGAGCTATGTGGCGCAGACCTTCCCCGCTATTATCATGACCACTATCTGGAACGAAAGGAACCTACATGTTTTTCGACAGGAAGGTTATGAGGACGTCCAGTTAAAAGCAGTTGTAAGGGCATTGATTCGTCAATGTATCTGGTCTGATTGGTTCCGGAAGGCTAAAGCTGGAAAAGCCCCAAAAGGAACTGCCTGGTTTTGGAAATCATGGGGTGCCAAGAGTAGCTTGGTTAAGCCAGGACCTTCGGGGAGACCGGTTGTCTCCCCGTGGTTAACTGTGAAGCCAACTTAGGCTAGGATAGGGTTACTGTCCACAATGTTGATATAGGTTGCCGATAATAGGCAGCCCAGGACACACGCAGGGAGTGTTCTGTATAGTTCAAGGAAGTTAAATTTGCGATCTTGATGCAAGATAGATTTTGGTTGAGCACTGAGCTTTGAAGGAGAAGGCAGCATACTGAGAACACTGAATCTTGAATACTGTGCTGCAAGGTGATTTTGGAGTTAGTTACCCTGGATCCACAATCGCGTGATCTAGAAAGAGCCAAATTGAATCAGCTATAAACAAGAACCCCACCACCGCCACCCACTGAGAAAAGCAAGCGAAGACCATCCAAGATGGCCGACTCGTGTCACTCGACCGGGGAGGTAGCATCAAGCCCAACTTCTCGGATGATGTCCACTGCATCGTTGGCACCACCCCTCACCGGTGAAGGCGTTTCACAACTGCTCACAACCCAAAGCCGGAAAGCCAGAAACTTCCATGAAAGTACACAGCAACTTCCAAGAAAGCACCCAGAAACATCCGTGAAAGTACCCACAAACTTCCATGTAGTCCACGATCCACACGACTCGTGCGGTGATCGCCGTATCTCGAGTCCGTCTTCCAGCTCTCGGAGAGCAACATGTAAATACACAGCAGATTCATCGAGTCGAAATCCAGCCACCCATCATCAAAAACTTGTCACGATGAGCATGACCACCAAGGCACACACGTGCTTGCAATCGCACAGGCTCCTCCAGTGCTGCACCAAATAACGCCGAAGCAGGATTACCCTGCGCACGCTCCATGTCCACAACCACAATCGCACAGGCTACTCCAGTGCTGCTCCAGGCAACGAACGCCAAAACAGGATTGCGCTGCGCACTCTCCATAATATCAGCAACCGGGGGCTAGGTCCCACTGGCACGAACGAAGAGATACAGACCGTAGATTGCAAAGATCAACGACCGGAATCTCTTAATCCGTGCAAGTGGCACCTTGCTGCGGAGGGCAAAGCAAAGCCCCTATCAGCTCTGTCAGGTATTGTTACATACTTCAATGAGTATGGGCAGAACCAAAGATCAACCAATATAGGATGACCATTTATGCAGCGGAAGTCTGATAACGAACTGACTCACATAGACTGACCTACATGGCATCACTCCGCACACATACAATCATGAGATGGTGAGGTCTAGGTCATTCATAGACGATACCCAGATCCCGTACACACATACACAGATGAAAGGTGGGAGGAGAGACGAAGGAGGTAGGAGGTAGATCACA